AGAGAGAGAGAGAGAGAGAGAGAGAGAGAGAGAGAGAGAGAGAGAATTTCTTCTATTATAGTTATACACATGAAAATAGGCCAGCTGGGTGTGGTGGGGCATACCTTTAATCCCACTAAAGAAAGCAGGTTTCTCTGAGTTCAAGGCCAGCTTGGTCTACAAAGTGAATTCTCAGGGTTGTTAAACAGAAAAACCCTATCTCAGAACAAACAAACAAACAAAGAACAAAACAGAGACAGAGACAGAGAGAGAGAGATCAGAAAGTCTATGGATTTCAACTGGTCTCAACATCCAACTGGTTAGGTCACTGAAAGTAATAGATCAAACTCAGTTGAATGAAAATGTTCTTTTAGAGAGGCAGTTACTGTAACATGTGTATGTGATGTGTATCACAGATTCAAATGTTTCTGTTCTTCTCCCACTTGATATAGCCAGGAGGTTATGGACACATAACCAAAGTCAGGACACATGCACAAGTGTCCCCAGAGGCCCCTGTACTCAGGGGCACTGAGCAGCTCCTCCCCGGTCCTTAGCACTTGAAGACAGAAAATCAGGTACTAGAGTAGCTCCTCCTCCAAGAACCTCAACCGTGTACTTCAGTCACACTGGCTTCCAAAAGAAAAAGGTTAGTTGCAATTTTCCCAGTGGGGCTACAAAAGACTGACCCACAACAAATCAAAGCAACAAAACCCACAGTGTTGCACAGTGTTGGAAAGGGCCTTCAATGAAGCCAGCAATGGCCACATTCTAAAGATAAACTTTGAATTTTCCAAGTACCATAGAAGGAGGGAAATATTTAGGAGGTGAGGCCCAGTAAAGAAAAGAGTTACAAGACAAACTTTGGAAATACTTTACATGTTTCTAGATTACATATATTTTACACTAGTAAAAATATGAGACACATATAAGTCCATTCAAGATGATAAATCCAGAGGCAGGCAATGCTGACAGCCCAGGCCACAAGAAAGAAAGAAAGAAAGAAAGAAAGAAAGAAAGAAAGAAAGA